CAGAAATGTCTGTAATGATGTCCTACATGTCACAGTGAATCTGTTCATATTTCTTTGTATAATCTATTGATCTAACTTTAAATTCTGTTATTCTCCAGTTCAAGTCTGTTATTGAACCTCTCTAGTGAATTTTGCATTATAGTTACATTTAATTCTAAAATTGCTACTCAGTTTTTAAGATATCTGTTCTTAATATTGATGATACTAATGGTCATTGTACTTTGTTTACACATGGTATCCTTTTGTTCTTTGAACATGTTTGTAATACCTGATTTGACGTCTTACCTGCTTAAGTGTGATATCTGGTCCTCTCACAGGCAGCTTCTGTTCCTTTTTTTTTTTCTTAATCCTTTGTATAGATTCACCTTCCTGTTCCATTTTTTGTTGTTGAAAAATGCGTATTTTAGAAAATGTATTTTGTCTATCTCTGTAGGGCTTATTTTCTTGGCTACTAAAATAAACCAGAAAAGTTACAGTTTTGTTCCTGTAACAGGGCAAAACCTCTGAAGTCACTTCACAGAGGGTGGAGTTCTAGATGTGCATTTAATCATCAGGGAATGACAGTGGTTTTCGCAGTCTGATCTCTTTGTTATACTGCCTGCCTCTGACACCCAACTGATAAGCTCCATTCATTGCCTGCTAAGTGTTGTTTTACTTTGGACCAATGCCCAGTACATAGAGTACCCTACGGTTTCATCCAATTAAATTCTGGTCCCTTAGCAGGGGTAGTTTGTGAAGCCAGTATTTGAGGTTTGCTCTGACTCAGGGGATTGGCGGGAGGTTCTTGTTAGCTGTCTCTTGTTCTGGTTGTCTCTGATACACTAGCTTGCCTATGGTTCAGCTTTTTGCTCTCATGAAGCCATCCCCTTGCTCTTAATTGCTTACCATGCTGATCTCTGTTTGAGAGTGTATTTATCCTTCAACTTTCTCACACTCGCTTCCAATTAAGTGAATTCCCTTGGGGCAAGCTTCATCGTTGTCTGTTATTAGAGCTTGTCTTTCTCCCTGTGAAAAGTCACCATGCCTCTATCTCGGGGCTATCGGTAGGCATGCGGTTTGAGCAACACCACTTCTTCATGGTAAGGTGCTGCCTGGAGGCAGTAGGCTCCTCTTCTTTTGCCTCTTCCAGCACAGAACCTCTGCCCTCTGTGTGAACTGGGCCAAGGGGGATGAGGGCCGCAGTGTTCTCTGCCTCCCGTGCAAGGAGTAGGTCTTCCCTCTGTGGGTGGAGGCTGTGTGGGAGAAGGACTGTCTTACCACCTCCTGGCCACACTAGTCTGTAATTGAGCCTCTGTGTCTTGGAGTTGAGTGGGCTGGGAAATGATGCGCTCTGCCCCTCCCCCTTGGAGCCAGGGATGCAGGGAGGCCTGTCTTCTTGGCCACACCTACTCTGAGTGGAACTTGAGTTACACTGAGCTGGGTGTTGTGGAATGAAGGAAAAAACGGATGATGGTTCTAGTACCACACGCTTCATTCTTTCCAAAATTTAAGAGAGATTCTTAAATGTTAACTTGTTGAATGCCCTTAGGACAACTTTCAAAGACTTTAAATGGTTGTTTTTGAAAGATGCTTTTCTTTAGTTACAGTTGTTTTGCTGGGAAGAGACTCTGCACAACTCTTGGTGACATTTTGTGTATCTCATGCTCTTTTAATGTTATGTCATAGTCTGGCATAGAGTGAACTATAAGTAGTTGAAATAGAGCGAACTATAAGTAGTTGAAATAGAGCTATGTTTTTTCCCTTAAAAAGCACTATGTACATGTGTGCATTCCTTTCCTGTCTTGTCTTCTGAAACCTCTGCTGATAGGTGCTAGCTTGACAAGTTGGGTTTGCTCTTTTTTTTTTTTTAAATTTTGTTGGAGTATAGTTGATTTATAATGTTGTGTTAGTTTCAGGTGTATGGCAAAGTGAATCAGACTTTATATATATATATATATATAATCTTCACACTGTTTTAGATTCTTTTCCCATAGAAGTCATTACACACTAATGAATAGAGTTCCCTGTGCTGTATAGTATAGGTCCTTATTAGTTATCTATCTTATATAGTGTGTATATGTTAACCTTGTAACTGTAAGTTTGTTTTCTACATCTGTAACTCTATTTCTGTTTTGTAGATAAATTCACTTGTACCCTTTTTTTAGATTCCACATATAAGCAATATCATGCAATACTTGTTTTTCTCTGTTGGACTTCACTCAGTATGACACTCTGTAGGACCATCCATGTTGCTGCAAATGGCATTCTTCCTTTTTTATGGCTGAGTAATATTCCATTGTATATATATATATATATATATATATATATGTATATATATATGTTCCACATCGTCTTTACCTATTTCTTTGTTGATGGACATTTCAGTTGCTTCTATGTCCTGGCTATTGTGAATAGTGCTTCAGTGGACATTGGAGTGCATGTATCTTTTTGAATTATAGTTTTCTCTGGATATATGCTCAGAAGTGGGATTGCTGGATCAGCTAATCTATGACAAAGGAGGCAAGAATAAACCCAACTTGTCAAGCTAGCACCTATCAGCAGAGGTTTCAGAAGACAAGACAGGAAAGGAATGCACACATGTACATAGTGCTTTTTAAGGGAAAAAACATAGCTCTATTTCAACTACTTATAGTTCACTCTATGCCTGACTATGACATAACATTAACAGAACATGAGATACACAAAATGTCACCAAGAGTTGTGCAGAGTCTCTTCCCAGCAAAACAACTGTAACTAAAGAAAAGCATCTTTCAAAAACAACCATTTAAAGTCTTTGAAAGTTGTCCTAAGGGCATTCAACAAGTTAACATTTAAGAATCTCTCTTAAATTTTGGAAAGAATGAAGCCTGTGGTACTAGAACCATCATCTGTTTTTTCCTTCATTCCACAAGAATATAGAGCAAGAATATACAGCTGGAGAAAATGCAGTGTCTTTGATGAGTGGTGCTGGGAAAACTGGACAGCCACATGTAAAAGAATGAAACACAAAAATAAACTCAAAATGGATTAAAGGCTGGATACTATATAACTCTTAGAGAAAAACATAGAACACTCTGACATAAATCACAGCAAGACCTTTTTGGTTCTGCCCCCTAGAGTAATAAAAATAAAACCAAAAATAAACCCCAAAATAAACAAATGGGACCTAATGAAACTTAAAAGCTTTTTGTGCAACAAAGGAAACCATAAACAAAATGAAAAGACAACCCTCAGAATAGGAGAAAATATTTGCAAATGAAGCAACTGACAAGGGATTGATCTCTAGAATACACAAATAGCTCACACAGCTCAATATTAAAAGAAAAAGATATCTCCAGAGAAGATATACAGGTGGCTAAAGAGCTCATCTTTTCAAGATGCTCAACATCACTAATTATTAAAGCAACGCGAATCAAAACTGCAATGAGGTATCACCTCTCACTGGTCAGGATGGCCATCATCTAATGTCTACACATTGTAAATGCTGGAGAGGGTGTGGAGAGAAGGTAGCTCTCCTCCACTGCTGGTGGTCACGTAAACTGTACAGCCACTAGGAGAACTGCATGAAGGATCCTTAAAAAACTAAAAATAGAGCTACCAAAGGGCTTGCTCTTTACCTGTCTTTCATCCACTTGGACATAATCACTCCTTACCAGCCCTGGCTGTCTCTTCGCTTTTGCTTTTACGCCTAGGCCCCACATCTCTGCTTGAGTCATTGGAAATGGTGACACGGTTTATACACTGTCTGCGTGTCTCACACATTAGCTTTGATTTTCAGCCAATCCCTTGGCCTTTGTAAACTAGTTTGTGGATAGTCTATCTTTCTCAGATGTGGTCTCCTGGAGACCAAATTCTTCTTAGGTGTTAATGTTATGTGCTGTATTTCTATGAAAGATAAGACATTTTACAGTTAATCTAAGACAGTTGGGTTAATTATCCTAACTGGGAATTTCATTTTAAGGCTACTTCACCAAGGTGGCTGTATGGTATGGACCTTCAAGACTATATTACAGTGTAACTTTATTAAAGGTAAAGGGAAAAACTGTCAGATAAGGTGTCTTTTTAAAATTTAGATGCATCTATTAATGAGACAGAGCTTTCATCAGAGCAGTTGAAATCAGTGGACATTTTGCCTCGGGGAGCTTCACATGGATGCTGTGTTTGAAGGGAGCTGTTTTTCACAGGAATTAGAGCAAGGCAGAAATTCATTGTCATTTGGGTGGTAGCAGAGCTCATTTTGGAGATCTTAGGGAATGTGTTTTTTTCCTTAATGATCTAATGTGTAAATTAAATACTTGAAGGCACATTAACAAGTAAATATTCATGTGCAACCCATTTCATTCCTGGACAATAGTTTTTTTCTGTCTCTCATCGTCAGGGAGTGTCCAATTTTATCTGAGCATCCTTTCTTAGTATTTGACTTCAATAGCCTGTGATGAAAAGGATTTTGGACCCATAATGAAGAATTATTTATATCTCTTACTGTATAGAACTGTAGTGGTTTGAGATTGGTGGGTTTTTTGGCTGCACTGGGTCTTTATGCTGTGCACGGGGTTTCTCTAGATGTGGCGAGCAGGGGCTGTTCTTGAGTTGCGGTACCCGGGCTTCTCATTGTGGTGGCTTCTCTTGTTGTGGAGCGTGGATTCTAGGGCTCATGGGCCTCAGTAGTTGTATCTTGCCGGCTCAGTAGTTACGGCTCCAGGGCTCTAGAGCATGAACTTAACAGTGGCGCACGGGCTTTGTTGCTCTGCGACTTGTGGAATCTTCATGGATCGGGGATGAAACTCATGTCTCCTGCATTGGTAGGTTCTTATCCACTGCGTCACCAGGGAAGTATTGAGACTGGTCTTTGATTGTAAATGATTTTATTTATGAGCCAAAATAAAGACTTGTTTGAATATTTTCTTGAGGTAGCTTGTTGGAGGTATAAGATCAGTTTCAAGACAGATCCAGAGTTCAGAACTTTTAGATTTTTTTTAGGTGATGTAAATGTGTCATTTGCATCTCTGTTTGTTCTTTAGGCCTCAGGAGCAATCCGACCTCTTGTATCTACTGTCATCAGTCCGTCTGCAGACAGCTGCTTAGACCACTCCCTGGAACGTGCCAGACACAGGGCAAGTGAAATGCCACAGGCCTTTCTATTTGATGTGATCTATGAAGCATATCAGCAGGTAAGAATCTTGGCTTTTTGAAAATCTACCATATTGGGCATCTGTAAGAACCACTCCCATATGTGGAGATTAGCTAGAAGAACTCATGGTGCTCTAGAGTGAACTCAAGACTCAAATTAATTAGAGTGAAGTTGGATCATGTGAGTAAAAGACATAGACAGAGTCTGGAGGAGTCCATGTGACATCTTTCTCGTGATCTGTCCCCTTCAGGATGACCCAAAGCACACCTTCCTTCCAGCAATGACAAGGCAGCAGCATGGGTGTGATGCTTCTTTCCAGGGAAGCCCGTTAGAGACTTGGTGTCTTAAAGGCCCTGGGTTGGTCATGTAGATACTTCTGCCTTGCACTTAAATTTCAGATTCCCAGGAGGAAAGCAGGTGTTCAGCATAAACCATATTGTTTACATGGACATTTAGGCACAGTGAACCACTCTTACCAGTTAACTATTCCCTGGAAACACGCCAAGCAACAAACTCCCTGATGCTGGCCGAGGGCCTGCCTGGTGAGTGGGTCTTTGAAAGTTAAGCAGTCTCAGCCCTACCATAGTAAACAATCTGCACAGCTGTAGAGACATTGTGTTAAAATTTTAAAGGTAAGTGATTTCAAAATACCAAGTCATTTGTGTTTAGATTATACTGAATTATCTTTGTTTTCATGTTTTGGAAACATTTTTGTACCTGTAAATTTTACTGCTATTCATTTCTGTGTTTATTCATTAAACAGTTATTAAACATCAGGTATTATGCTTGACAGAAACTTTCCAATGAAATAGGATCATTGCAACAACTAAAGCAGTACTTGGCTGATGTTAAATAGTCAGTAAATAGAGATGGATGGACTTTAGGGATATATGAGATAATAATAACATAAATATTGACATTTTATAATAAAAGAATACCACTATTTGGATAGTTGTTCAGTTGCTAAGTTGTGTCCAACTCTTCTGGAACCCCATGGACCATAGTCTACCAGGCTCCCCTGTCCATGGGATTTTCTAGGCAAGAATACTAGAGTGGGTTGCCATTTCCTTCTCCAGGGGATCTTCTCAACTCAGGGATTAAACTCATGTCTCCTACCTTGGCAGGAGGGTTCTTTACCACTGAGGCACCAGGAAAGCCCACATTTTGGATAAAAAGTAATTACATAATGAATCAATCTTGATTTATCAATTACTGTTTTAAATGTTGAATTCTCAGTAAATGAGAACCAGTTTTCATGGTATGAATAGTTGACCATGGTTTGTTTTCTTAAAATTTGCTGCACAGAAATTTACCTGCATTTGGTCATTAACCAAATGTTACGCTGTTAAAAATCCTAAAAAGCTTAAATCTTGCTGAGCTAGACATCTGCTTAATATTTCTAATATTTTTTAAGATTAATGAAAGAATTTATTCATCTTTATGTGAGCATTTGCTTTAAGAAGAAGAATGTTAGGTCTATTTTAGAAAATTTAATACAATCCTATGATCTTCACATTAGAGTAGTATGTTTCAACAATTTTTGGTAGAGAATTAAGCCCTGAAGCACTGAGGTACTGATTCTCAAATTATAGTTACCAGACCAGCAACCTAAGCATATTTTAGATTTTGTTAAAATGCAAATTCTGGGCCTTTACCTCAGACCTACTTAGTTAGAAACTCTGGCAACGGAAACACCAATTTGTGTTTTAACAAACAAGTCTGCCATGTGATCCTGATTAACGCTGAATTTTGGGAACCAAAAATTACCACATACAACCCTAAGGTATTCATTGTATGTGGTTAAGTCTCTTCTGTTGCATTCTTTGGAGAACTGAGAATGAAGTCACACAAAACCAACTCTTCTATGGTTCAGAGGAGGAATGCTCACAGCATCTTGGAAGTTTTGATGCAAGTTCTTATGAAAGTCATTTTTGATCATAAAGTCATTCATAAGAAAGTTTGTATAAAATATTTCTCATCTATACTATTTATGTACATATATGTTCTGGTTTTAAAAAGTAGAGAAGAGTAAAACAGGACAGAATTCCAGGGGTGGGAAGTCATTTTCTATAGATTGATCAGAGGTGCCCTGTGAAAAGGTAAAATTTAAGCCAGCATTGAGAAGTGAGTGAGGAGATAAGTTGTGCAGGTAACTGAGATCATTATTTTAGGTACAGGATGCAGAATCTAAAAAGGTGGAGTGAGGCTAGAGAAGAATGACATCATGGAGGGAAGTAGGAGATATGGTTAGGGAGGCTCTGTGTGTGGTATCTTGTAGGGTCTTAAAGGCAATGATATGGGCTTTAGGTTTTACCTTGAATGAAAAGGGAACTTTAGATGGTGCTGTGTGAAGTCCCACTTCTATGGGACCACCCTATCCCTTGTGGGGATGGTACCTTATAGAAGGTAAGGGAAGAAGTAAGCTATTGTGATGATCAAGGCAAAGATGATGACAATTAGGGCAATTTGTGTAATATAGTATTTGGTGTGAAGTGTTTGTGTTCTGAAGAGATTTAGAGGTAAAATGAGGATAAACCATTTAGTCAGGGATCAGGTATCAGAATGGGAAGACCAATGGCTCCAAGGATTTGCTCTGAATAACTAGAACACAGTGGTCCTTTATTGAGATAGGAAATGCTAGGGAAGAGAGTTTTGTATGATAAAATCAAAAGTTTGCTTCTGTTGTACTAAGTTTGAGGTTTCCTGTAGATGTTGTAAAAAATGTGAAGGAGATAGTTGAATATATGAAGCTATAATTCTGTGGAAAGGTCCAGATAAAGATAGGCACTTGACTTCCTGTAGAGCTCAGGGAACCCTACTAGTGCTCTGTGGTGACCTAAGTGGGAAATAAATCCAAAAAAGAGGTGGTACATGTGTATAGCTGACTCACTTTGTTGTACAGTAGAAGCCAACACATTGTAAAGCAACTAGACTCCAGTGAAAAATTAATAAAAAGATAGAGAAGAGCTAATGCCTATCCTTCTAAAACTCTTTCATGAAGTTTCAGAGGAAGGAATACTTTCTAACTCATTCTACGAGGCCATCATCACCATGATACCAAGACCAGACAAAGACAACACAAAAAAAGAATACTACAGGCCAGTATCACTGATGAACATAGATGCAAAAATCCTCAACAAAATTTAGCAAACAGAATTCAGCAACACATCAAAAAGCTCATATGCCATGATCAAGTTGGGTTTATTCCAGGGATGCAAGGATTCTTCAATGTATACAAATCAATCAATGTGATCTACCATATTAACAAGTTGAAAGATAAAAACCATATGATCTCAGTAGATGCAGAAAAAGCCTTTGACAAAATTTGGCACCCATTTATGATTAAATGGGCCTAGGAGGAACCTACCTGAACATGGCCATATATGATAAGACTACAGCAAACATTATTCTCAGTCGTGAAAAACTGAAAGCATTCCCCCTAAGATCAGGAACAAGACAAGGGTGTCAACTTTCACCACTATTATTCAAGATCATTCTGGAAGTCCTAGCTACAGCAGTCAGAGAAGAAAAAGAAATAAAAGGAATCCAGATTGGAAAAGAAGAAGTAAAGCTCTCACTGTTTGCAGATGACATGATACTGTACATTTAAAGATAGTATCAGAAAATTACTAGAGTTAATCACTGAATATAGCAAAGTTGCAGGATACAAAATCAATACACAGATATCACTTGCAGTTCTATATATTAACAATGAAAAATCAGAAAGAGAAATTAGGGAATCAATCCCTTTTTCCATTGCGACTAAAAGAATTAAATATCTAGGAATAAATTTACCTAAGGAGAAAAAAGAACACAGAAAATTATAAGACATTAATGAAAGAAATCAAAGATGACATAAACAGATGGAGATATATTCTATGTTCCTGGATAGGAAGAATCAATATTGTGAAAATGGCTATACTACCAAACTCAGTCTACAGATTCAGTGTGATCCCTATCAAATTACCAATGACATTTTTCACAGAACTAGAACAAAACATTTCACATTTCAGATGGAAACACAAAAGACCCCGAATAGCCAAAGCAGTCTTGAGAAAGAAGAATGGAGCTGGAGGAATCAGCCTTCCTGACTTCAGATTATACTACAAAGCTATAGTCATCAAGACAGTATGGTACTGGCACAAAAGCAGAAATGTGAAACAAGATAGAAAGCCCTGAAATAAACCCTTCCCCTGTGGGTACCTTATTTTTGACAAAGGAGGCAAGAGTATACAATGGGGCAAAGACAACTTCTTCAGTAAATGGTGCTGGGAATACTGGACAGCTACATGTAAAAGAATGAAATTAGAACACTTTCTAACACCATACACAAAGATAAACTCAAAATGGATTAAAGATCTACCTGTAAGCCCAGAAACAGTAAAACTCTTAGAGGAAAACATAGGCATAACACCTGATGACAAAGCAAAGCAAAATCCTCTATGACCCACCTCCTAGAGTAACAACAATAATAGCAAAAGTAAACAAGTAGGACCTAATTAAGCTTAAAAGCTTTTGCACAGCAAAGGAAACTATAAGTGAGGTGAAAAGACAACCCTCAGAATGGGAGAAAATAATAGTAAATGAAACAACTGACAAAGGATTAATTTTCAAAATATAGAAGCAGCTCATACAACTCAATGCCAGAAAAACAAACAACCGAATCAAAAAGTGGGAAAAAGACCTAAGCAGACATTTCTCTAAAGAAGACGTACAGATGGCTAACAGCACATGAAAAGATGCTCAACATCACTCATTATTAGAGAAATGCAAGTCAAAACTACAATGAGGTATCACCTCACATTGGTCAGAATGGCCATCATCAAAAGGTCTACAAACAATAAATGCTGGAGAGGCTGTGGAGAAAAGGAATGCTTTTGCACTATTGGTGGGAATGTAAGTTGATACAGCCACTATGGAAGATGGTATGGAGATTCCTTAAAAAACTAGGAATAAAGCCACTATATGACACAGCAGTCCCACTCCTAGGCATATACCCAAAGGAAACCAAAATTGAAAGAGACACATGTATCCCATTGC